GGGGTAGGGGAGGGGATAGCAATATAATGATACACACACACAAACATACATAAATGTAATCAATATATATGATGATAAATAAATAAGAGTGTGTGTGTGTGTGTATCTTTTTTTTTTTTTTTTTTTTAAGCAGGATTTCAGGCACCTTTATTCACGGCAGGTATTTTTGGTCAGGGGAGCTTTCTCTGAAACCTTCCTGTTACTTAAGGAAGACAACTGCTTACATCCTGATGGTCCACTTGCCATTTCCCAGGCTTGGAAGCATCTTGCACGCAGTTCCACCCAGTCCCTGAGTCCAGCTGGCTCTGGGCTTTCAGGGCCACACCTCGCAGCACAACCTACCAGCCCAGTGAGGGAGTTTCTGCAGCTTGGTGATAACAGTGGGGAATTCATTTTATCCCAGAAGAAATCGACTCCTCTGTGTTCCCCATATAATTTATAAATAGGACAAATTATTCCTTAATATTATTATATATTTGCAGTACAAACAATTAAGACTAGTGACATAGGAAACTTTGAAAAAATCATGCTGTGTTGACTACGGGTTTCCCTCTCCAAAGCACTCTTCCATTCCTCAGCTTCTACCATATTCTCTATACAAAATCATCCTGCTGTGACAGTTGCATGGGTCTCCTTCCCATCAACACTGCCTCTGGGCTCAGCACTCCTGACACTGTACGGCTGAGCCGTAGGAGTTATTTTCCCTGTCTTCCATCATCAATTATAAAGCCACTACTCTCCTCGAATTTAGGTAAGAAACAGTTTAAAGAAACAGTATTTCTTAAAAACCCAAGCCTACTGCTAGTTATTTAGTAGGCATGGATTTAACATGGTCTGTTTTCTTTTTGTGTTTCTTTTCCCAGCCACTAGCTCAAAAGATGGAGTAGCTTAGTTGTAAAGTCCTGCCAGATTTCCTACGGTAACTGCTGTAGATGGACAAGGTAAGGTCCTACTGAAGGTTCAAACCTCATGCAAAACTCTAACTGCTGAAAACCTCATCACATCAGACAACTCTGTCATTGTATTTAAAAATGCTAACCGTAAAGTGGCTTGTGGTCACTCTTTGTTACTGTAGCATCTGACCTCAGGGACTCAGACATAAAATCGTGGTTCCATTCCGAGTTTTGGCGACAGAGTAGTGCCAGATATTTCTGAATACACAATGTTAAGTGTTTTTAACCACTTGGAAAGTATCACCAACACACTATTTGGTGTTTACTCAGTCACTCTGAGGATCAAAGAACCTTAACTATCAATGCCTTACTTCACAAAATCTTATTATAACCAAGGATCTACCCTATGTCCAATAAAAGAATTACACAGCAACTTTTATCAAACAGCAACTACTACAAAGGGAATGATAGAAAAAAAATGACTTCACAAAAATACACTAAAAAATTTGACAATTGTATGCAGGAACTGCCAAAGTTTTAGTGTTTAATAGCACAACTGACCAAGGTCCAAGACGTGAAGTTACCATGTTCAGGAAACATGGGGGGCAGGGGAGGGAAATTACTCTATAAACCAACTCTATAGTATGTGGTAAGAAGAATGCACACTTTATAATATAAAACCTGTCTACACAGAGTAGTTAGTTGCAAAAAGCTATCCGGCTTCTCTTGGTTTGTAAAAAGGGTGTTCCAGATTCCAGAGCAGATGAGCAACCTTCAAGTCTTCTGTGTGGCAGCAATCCTGCTTTACCCGTCCAGCTTTTCCATCCCGGCCTGTGTCATGAGGTCTGCGATGTTTTTCTCCAGGCCATCAATGTGACTGCTCATGTCATCAATGCTTCCAATGATCTGGTCAGACATGGTCTGAAATTTATCTTGCATCTGTTGCAGGAGTGTCTGCACCACCGAGGTGAGATCCTGCATGGTCTTGGGCTCAGCCTCTGCCATCTCCCGGGTTCCCAGCTTGGCGGTGCTGTCTCAGACCGTCACCTACACTTCCATTTGTCTGCGCAGATGCCCCGTATGTGTGTATATTAAATGTATAAACTGGAAGCATTCACGCCATTTGTGGGCCATGTAGAGTCTAAGTAGAGGGAAGACTTAGAACCACATTTTCTTCCTTTTATAATTATAAATAGATTTAAAGTTAATATTGTCACCTGTTCACATAGTATGTGATTCAAATGAATATAGAAAGTACATATAAATACCTGGAGGAAGAATATTCGAGATTGAGAAAAGTGCAAGTGCAGTTCTTGTGAAGGCAACAGGCTCAGCACGATTGACAAATAGCCAGAAAGTAAGAGTGGCTAAAGTACTGTAAACATCGGAAGGGCAGCAGAAAATGAGGCAGGTGAGGTAGTCAGGTATTAGATGACATATAGCCCTGAAAGTCATGATAAAGTTTTGACTTATATATCCTAAGTGTGATGGGAAGTGAGTAGCACCTAAAATGTCCTTGAAAATGCTATTTAAGTAAAAGTGCTTATTTAAATTGTACCTTATGTTTTGTACAATATTCAAAAAGTGAGAATTGTTAACAGAAGTTATGACTTCATTTGGAACTTAAATTACTTTATAAGACCCAGGCTTTCCTATTTCTAAAACATATATAAGATGACATATTAGGAAAAGCAATGTAATGATTACAAATGACATAATCCGATATAAGATTCTACACAGAATTCTATTTTGAGATTTCTGTATGTGTGATCTATATATCAAAGAGTACATAAAACACGTATGTGCAGTTTAATGAATAATTATAGCGTGAACTCGCATAACCATCACATAGAAATAGAATATTACCAGCACCCCAGGAACCCTTGCTATATGACTTTTTAAAAAAGAGCTTACCTAGTACTATAATCTGTGATAATTATCCACTTAAATGTCAACCGAGATCATGTGACCAATCTTTTTATGGGCAAAAGAAATGTTCCCTTAAGTCCATATTTAATTTCAATATGGAAATTGAGTATGTATCCACTTGAAATCTGTTCACATTCCAGGATAGAGATGTTCTATCTCTAAGACACTAATTTTTAATTTTAAACAAAAGATATATCAAGCAAATGAAAAAACCCCCAGAACTATATAGAGCTTGAAGAAAACACATAAATCTTCATATATTTTTGTGAAAGCAAACCTAGTAGTGATAGCTTTAAGATTAAAAGCACCTGATTAAAGTAAAATAAAAGTCATTCAAAAGTTTAAGATCTCATTATAGGTTTCATTACAACAAATTAGGTAAAATGAGGAGATTTCTTTGTTTCTCTGTAGTTTCTAGTACATGCTTAGCACTCAAATATTAAATAGTAAATATGAATCAGGCTAATCACAGCATATCTAAAATATATTTTATTAAATTTAAACCTATTTAATATTTTATATTATAAAAACTTGACATGTCACTGATTCATGACCTTTTACAATATTAAAAATTAAACCTATGAAATCTAGATTTCTATATCTTTATTTTTCTCAGCTCAAGTTTAATAAAACTACAGAAGACCAAAAGTGATACCCTACTACTATACACATCAGTTTGCCTGCCCCATAATACAGCTCAGGCCATTCCCTCCAGAGGAAGAAAGGCTGGCCTCCCCAACCGCTGCAGGAAAGGCCTGTCCTGTCCCACACCACATCTGGGCTGAGTGTAAGATCTTGTGTTTTAAGCATGACAATAGTACAAAAAAGGTTTTGTTCTCATGGCCATCTACTTCAGCCTGGCCCTAAAATGGCCCAGTGCTCACTTCTGCTTAGAGAAATATCCTTTGCTTTTCTGGACATCAGGCTGGATGGTATCACTGCCAGGCTTCCAGCCAGCTGGGCACACTTTCCCATGTTTGTCAGTAAACTGGAAAGCCTGATCTAGTCTCAGTGTCTCATCCACAGAAAGGCCAACAGGAAGGTCATTTATGGTGATCTGTCGAAGGATACCTTTATCATCAATAATAAAAAGGCCCCTGAATGAGATGCCTCTATCGGCCTTTAAGACCCCATAGTCCTGAGCAATGGTGCGCTTGGGGTCTGGTATCAAGGGAATGTTCATGGGTCCTAGTCCTCCTTGTTTCTTGGGTGTGTTGATCCATGCCAGGTTTCAGAAGTGCGAATCCACAGAAGCACGAATCGCTTGGCAGTTGAGTTTCTTAAATTCTTCTGCCCTATCATTGAAAGCAATGATCTCCGTGGGGCACACAAAGGTGAGGTCAAGAGGGTAAAAGAAGAACACAGCATATTTTCCTTTGTAGTCAGATAGGCTGATATCTTTGAACTGACCATCTGGCATTACAGAAGTTGCTTTGAACTGGGGGGCACGGTGCCCAATTTTGGCATTTCCTGAAGACATATTGCTATCAGCAGTTCTCACAGACAAACTACAGAGGACAGTCAGGAAGGAGACATGCCTAGATTTCTATCTTTTAAATGAATATTTTAGAAATAAACTACCAGAGAATAAGAAATATGTGTGGTCAAAATTAAACTAACAATATTTTAGAATAAAGAATTTCATATTAAAATTAGGTTACTCTCTAATGGAAAATTCTAAAAACCTTTTGCAAATGCATTTAAAATAGTAAAGAGGATGAAATATAATAAATAAAAGCAAGCTATAAAGACACAGGAAATGTGGAAAAACTAAACGGATAACATGGATAAAAATAACATTCAGAAGTATCATTCTTAAATTGTAGTGTAGCATTACCTGAATTATGTGCCCTTTAATTTATGCACATGATGGATAGCTTGTTAAGGGGCTATACCATTATAATTGATAGTGGCTGAAGGCAGTCAGGCCATAATTTCTATTTAATGGATGGGATAGTAAGAGAACAAAGTCTGCAGTAGCATTTTAAAATAACTGCCTATAAAGTTTACATTTATGTCCCAAGTGTTACCTATATTCTAGTCTTTTCTATGTTGAATTCTTTAAGAAAAAAGAGAAAAATCAGCTGCAGCAAGATCCACCTATTATTAAATCAAAATTCTGATTTAACCAATAACTAGAAAAATCTCACAATAAATGGAAAAGAATTTTCAACTAACCATCTGATGGTCCATTTTTGTTCTCTTGTTCTTTAGAGCTTGTGGGAGAAGCAAATGGGCTAATTTGACAGGTTCCAGTTGTTGGAGAATAGGCTGTAACACTTATCTTCCTTGTGATTTTTGAAGAATCAAATGACTAGAAATAAATATTAATTTGGGACAAAAATACTTATGTTTAGTTACAGATCTTTGGAAATACATTTGAAAAACTCGCAAAATTCAAACTAATACTCTTTTCCTTGATCTTTCTTTTCGGATTTTAAATATACACAATTATTATCTTCAAAGTGAACACTGTTATTTCAAGGTATGTACATTTTCCTGGTCTCCATACTGATTAGGGCATCTCAATTTGATTTTATGAAATTTTAACATTAAATGGTTACTACATTCTGAGATGGTATTTCCAAACAAGTAGAGATAGCTGACTCTCCCAATTACATCCTGACATTTGTTGTTAGCTGAACGTGAAGTATAATTATGGGCCTAGACCAGAGAAAATCTCAGAAGTGTCTCTTAGTAAGACCCACAGGGAAACCCTAGGAAGGATTAGTGGTGTCCTTAACCTTCACAAAGTTGCTCTGACACAGTATCTTAATGATAAAACAAAAAGAATGTTCAAACAATTGAGTATGGCATTTAAGGCCTTTGAGAATTTGATCTATTCTACACAATCCTCTCTGCAGCTTCCTCCTCTGTGTTCCCATAGACCTTGTTCATACCTCTTACTGGAGTTAGTAAATTCTAATAATTTATTACATTTCTGTATACCCCATTAGTATTTAAGTTTCTGAAAATACATATTACTTCATCCTTGTACTATAGAACTCAAAAATGTATGATGAATGAATGATTTAAAAGAAACAGCCCAGTAAACTTAGCCAGGCCACTCTATTCAGAGTACACTCATTTGGGGCTTCCTTGGTGGCGCAGTGGTTGAGGGTCCACCTGCCGATGCAGGGGACATGGGTTCGTGCCCCGGTCCGGGAAGATCCCACATGCCGTGAAGCGGCTGGGCCCGTGAGCCATGGCCACTGAGCCTGCACATTCAGAGCCTGTGCTCCGCAACAGGAGAGGCCTGATACCGCAAAAAAAAAAAAAAAAAAAAAAAAGAATATACTCATTTGTTCACTGGTTCATTCATCTATTATTAACTGACGCCTTTAGTCCCAGTCACTTAGGTTATGCACATTTGGGTCTCAGCTAGTCTTTCTTTGGTTTGGGGCCTCATTCATAATCCACTTCCTCCAAACACCCATTATCACACTATTAATTGCTTGCTCTTCTGAATTCTTTTTAAACGTATTTTCTATAATGCTTACTAATCACCCAGCATTTGCTAACTAATGTGTATACAGGAAGAGAACAAATTGCTCTGGCCTCATAAACAGCAGAGGACAGGTCTAAAGGTAGTATGCTTGTTACAGAAATTCAGAGAAGAGGGAAAACCAAAGTGGGCTGCAGTAATCTCACAGAAGGATTCTTGTGAAGAGGAAGGGTGAGGCTTAGATAACTGAAAATAAAAGGTATGAAAAACCTGAAATCTAGAGGTGAAACAGACAGCACAGGGTGGATTTAGGGATAAAGGAAAGGTCTGAAGGTTCAGGATATGTTGCCAACACTGTAGAATTAAACTTTAGCTTGGCTGCTGACTTGAAATAGTTATATAATTCTCCATTGTCACCTATTCTTTATTTTCAAGACACCATGGCAGAAATAGTGGCTATGTCACCTTTTTCAATAATCTTGGTATTAGTTCCAGAATCTATAGCATCAATTTTTTTTTTTTTTACAGGTAAGATTTTAAATGATAGATACTTCTTTGTATTGGGGGAAAAAAGGCATTATATTTTTTATTTTATGTATCCACAGTAGCCACAAATATAACCAATATTTAAAAAAAATCAAACTACAATATCAAGTTATATCTTCAAAGTAATCTTTTTTGTAAGGTGAAAGAGTTTTAAGTCTCTTTAACAGGTGGTTATTATTACCTCTCCATGTTGAGTTTTCAGCTGCTTATAAGTATTCAGTCATAAACTATGACATTTATCCAATCCAACCCCACTTTTCTAAGAATTTATTGCCCAGAAATATTTCACTGTGTATGTACAAGAAATGAAAGTCACTACCCTAATGTACATTTATGTCAATCTGTTTTCCTATTTTCACCAAAAATTATTTTTCCAATTGCCAAGTATCTAAATATTGCAACTGCAGATCATACATTTCTCCTTGAAAACAATTTTCTAGCTTTTGTAAAATAAGTCTTGGTGTGTGTGTGCGCATGCATGTGTGTGTGTGTGTATATATATATATATATGTGTGTGTATATATATATATATATATATATAAATTTTTCCCCCTCACCTTAAAAATACTGTCTTCTCTTTTGCTTTCTTTCTTTCTTTTTTTTTTTTGGTTATCTGTGTTGATTAAAAAGGAAAATATATGTCTACAATCGTAATGTACTTAGAGGGAAAAAAGAAAATCTACCTTTCCCTACTATCCCACTAAATATTCTTCAGTAAATAATGCATTTTTATATGTCTGCCTACTGATACACACAAATGCATAGTCTTACTTCTTTAAGTTCTTTTTCTCTCAAAGTTTAACCAAGGTCCTCTAATTTTTAAACTCTGAAGATGCTTAAAAGTGATCCTAGAATCCTAAGAATTTCCATTCTGCCAACGCCCAAACGTTGAAGGACTTGGTCTTCTTATTAGTCTCCTACAAAAGGAAGAGTTAAGAAGACTGGGATTTGAGAGAAGACTGAGCTACTAATTGAGAAGTCTGGAACTCTTTCCATTCAGCAATGATGAGTGCTACCTACCAGGTCCTTTAGAAAAATAGAGGAAGAAAAAGTGAGAAGAACAGATTTGGCTAGAGAAAGGAAAGAATTCAGGATGCAAACAAAATATAAGGATATAGAAATCAGATAAGTCACAACTACTTTCTATAATAATTTACAACTGCTTGTAATATTTATTGACAACATTATTTAATACCACACTAAAAAAAAAAAAAGATTCTGTCTAGGATCAGTCCAAATGCCACTGTACTTTCTGTAAGGTCAAACCTTGTACATTAGCAAAACTAAAATTTGGTCATTGATTTTTCTGCCCAGAAAAAAAGAAATCAATGTTCTCTCCAGAATTTCAAATATATATGACATTCTCCTTCAATATGTTTCACAAATTGTAGCTTGCTTCATCACCTTGTTTAAAGCATATTCTACCAAAAAGGTACCTGTATTTTATATATTTTTACCTATTATAGTCTAGAAAGTACTAACTAAGGGTTCTTTCAGGATGAAATGTGGGATATAATGGATCTGCTATTATTATTATGAACTACTAGACTATGCTAACACTGAAATATTTAAAAATACAGGTACTGTAGGTATTTGGACAACCAGAAGCAAAAGAAAAATTAGGGTAGCTAAAGGGAGACAATTCTTTATAATCTTATACTGGTTAATTAGGTTATTGGAATGTTTCACCTAAGGCAGTATTATACATCACTAGTACTTATTATAGAATTTACATTAGAAAATTTTAAATACTAGCTGTCTCAGGGATTTGTCACGATTTGGGCCTAGGGTTCCTAGAAGAGTCCTAAATATCAACTAACTTTTTATCAGTTGCCACAATTATCACCCTTAATGACTCTAATAATATTTAGGTTTTGTTATTTCTAATGGTAGTTATAGAGAACAAAAGCATTTTGCACTTACCCCGTGATCTTACAGGGACATCAGGGAAAGGATATAACCAATATATTAGATCTGTGCTGATGACAATGTTCTATTTCTTGATTGGGTGTTTGATACCCAGGGATATACATTTGTTAAAACTCATTGAACTGTACACTCAAGATCTGTGAATTTCACAATCTATAAATTTTACTTTGATAAAAATATTTTAACAGGAAAAATAAAACATTGGCTAAAAAGTTGATACACTGGTGTTTCTATTTGTGCACACTACTGTTCCACAATTTTAAGACATTAAAATATTAATTTTAATATTAAAGACATGACCATTTTGTTACTCTCTTGCACTGTAGTCTTCAATAAGTTTTTAAAGATATATTTTCATGGCTATTATCATTCCTTCATATGTCCTCCTATTTTTTCAGAATAGAAAGTGAATCCTACCTCAAATATATTTTTGTTTATTGAAGTATGATTTACTTACAATAAAATACACAGATCTTAAGTTGTCTGGCTTGCTGAGTTCTGATAACTGTATATATACACTGATGCCACCACCACCCAAGATGAAGAACATTTCTGTCATCCCAGAAGATTCCCTTGTACCCATTTCCACTCAATTCCCACTCTGCAGCCCAGAAGCAACCACTTTCTAATTCCTATAACCATAGCTATTTTTGCCTATTCTTGAACTTCATATAAATTAAATACATAACTCTTGTGTTTGGCTTCTTCTTTTCAATGTGTTTTTGAGATCATCTATGTTGTTGTGAGTGGTAAGATTGTGTTCCTTTTAATTTTACTATTCCTTTGTATAAATGTACCAGAATTTGTTTTTCTAATCTCCTGTTGAAGGACATTTGGGTTATTTCCAGTTTGGGGCTATTACGAATTAAGGGGCTAAAGAACATTTTTGTATATGTCTTTTGTGGATATATGATTTTATTTATTTAGGAAGCCCAGGAATGGAATTGCCAGACTATAGGATGGATATAGATTTATTTTCTATATATAAAATAAAGGCTAAATAGTTCTCTCAAGTGTTTGTATCATTTTAAATTACAATCAATAAATGAGAGAGTTCCAAATGCTGCACATCCTCACCAACCCTTAGGTTGTTTTAGACATTCCAGGGTTGATTTTTAAAGCCATTCTGTTTTGTTGTTGTTATTTAGCTATTCAAGTGAGTGGGAATGGTATTCCTTTGTGGTTTTAATTTGTATTTCCAATGACTAATGATGTTGAACATTTTTTCATGTGCTAATTTTCCATTTAAACATTTTATTTGTCTTAGATTTATAAAGCTGGACAGTTGCTGATTTGGTGATCGTTAGGTCACTCAGACTATGTAAATACAATGTATTGATCTTTCTAAATGTTCTTCTGGGTTTTTAATTGTTTACAAATTTCTTTTTGTATTG